AATGCATGACTTCACAGCACCACCTTGCGTTTACTCTGCTATTTAGCTGTTCCATATGCTGCAGCACTGCCTAGGTATAGTGTCACCTGTTTAATTACAGGTAATAGGCATTATGGGGACAATTCAAAGCATGTTGAGAGAGCAGTCTGAACTACCAGTTCCCCACCCACCATTGTAACTTTCTGCTAGTAAATCTTGACTACAGATATTACTGGGCTTGATGCCAGCAAGTGTCACACATAGATTTTAGGAAGATGGAGAGGAATGCTTTTCAGGAGGCAGATTTGATGCCACTTCATGTAAGTCCTATTTTTATTAAGTCATGGTGAAAATATTTACATGGTACTCCTCATTCATAGATCCCAAAATACTTTACAAAGGTTATGCCAGCATTGCTGTCTCCCATTTTAGAGATGGGAGATACTGGGCATGGCTACATGAGATGCTTTACTCAAGATTAGAGGAAATTACTGCACAGTAAATGTTACCATCTACATGTGCAGATGCTTACTGCAAAGTAATTTACTCTAATGGTGAGTAAATTTGCTCCCTGTAAATACAAGTAGCATATTTGCTTGCAATTAATTACTGTGCCATACAGCACATGTAGTCAGCTGACTGGGAGCAAACTTGCTCCCAGTTAGCTGGGCAGCAGGAAGTGGGAGATTGCTCCCTGTCCCCAGAGGTTGGCTGCTGCTGGGGCGTGCTCTGCCACTGGAGCCCAGGCAGGAACAATGTCCTCGTGCCCCAGCAGCAGGGAGCTCCCAGCCCTGGCTTCCCAATTGCAGTCATGGAGCAGGGGCTGGGAAGATTTTTCCTAGTTCCAGCTCCATGATCACGGAGCTGTGGCTGGGAACAAACTCCCCAGTCTGTTCCCAGCCCCTGCTCTGTGATCACAGAGTGGGGCCTGGGAACAATCTCCCCAGCCTCCACCCCACAGTTGCGGAGCAGGGGCCGGAAATTGTCTCAGTCAGGAGCCGCTCCCATGCCGTGATCAAGTGATCGAGGTAGGGGGCTTGGAAAGATCTATGGGGGAGGAGCAGGTCCCAGCCCCCTGCCCCAATCTGCTGGTGGGGCAGCTAGCAGTAAGTCTCTGAGTGGACAGGGAATCGCCCACCACTGGATTGGGGCAGGGGGTTGGGACCTGCCCCTCCCCTGCAGCGCTTTCCAAGCCCCCTGCCTCCGAATGGGGAGTCAGGGTCAGCAACTCCCTGCTGCTGGGGCAGGGGGACATTGTCCCCACCCAGGCTGTGGTGGCAGAGCCAGTCCTGGCAGTCCTGACCCCGAGCTCCCTGCCAAGCCCTATGCTAGCACCCATAGGGAGCCTCGAGCTCCCCCTGGCGTCTGCAGGGGGCTGGTGCACAGCTGGAGGGGGCAGGAGCAGATTGCTGCCAGGAGCAGCAAATCTGCTCCTGCATCCCTGCACATGTAGATGCCTGCCCAGGGTGAGTATACTCTAGAGTAATTTTCTCTAAAATAAACCGACCCCGCAGTATTTGAACATGTTGTTTGCACTGAGGCACAGAGTTGTTTGTTCCAGAATAGTCTGAGATGGGGCCAGATCCAAAGTTTTTAACTCCTCCAAGACCGTTTTAGGTTGGACGTAAGGAAAAATTTCTTTACTGTCCGAGCCCGCAGGACCTGGAATAGACTCCCTCCAGAAGTGGTGCAGGCACCTACTCTAGACTCATTCAAGAAACGTTTGGATGCTTATCTTGCTGGGATCCTTTGACCCCAGCTGACCTCCTGCCCCTTGGGCAGGGAGCTGGACTTGATGATCTTTGAGGTCCCTTCCAGCCCTAATGTCTATGAAAAAGTCCCCTTCCCTTTCATGTCAGTGAACTCTGGATCAGGCCTCCAATTGCTTTGTAAGCTCCTTTGTAAGCTGAAAGGAAAGATGATAAGCTGCCCTATTCTGGCTGGAATGAGAGGTGCTGAAATGCTTGCAGTTGTTGCCTTTGAATCAATGGTGAACCACAAAAGAACCAACATTTTCAAGTGTCAAGCAGCAAAAGTCAGGGTTTCCCCTCAGCTCTAACCTAGGAATGGCTCAGGGGATTCTTCTCACATGTAGAAACAAAATGGTTTTGGGGTGGGACCAAGCATAGGACATTTCAGAGACATTTCAACCCTAGAGGAGGGAACTATGAGCCTGCAAAACAGGTCTTAAGGGAAACCAGAGCACCCCTGAACTCTAGTTTACATTGCACCCACATCTACATGAGAGAGGCTCCCTCCAGTGGAGACTGTTATCACTGCAGGTGAAATCAGTTGCACAAAGCCTGAGACACTGTGACTGGTGTGAACAGCAGCTGGGGAAGTGACATGACCCTGCTTCAACCCAAGGCCAGGATGTGGTGAATTTGTGGGACAAAGGGGTTATGTCACTTGTCAGTAGCAGAGCCAGGAAGGGGACTTGGCAGTCATGATTTCCAGCCTAAACATCAGTCAGCATTTTCTTTCTTCTACCTATGAATCAAACTGTGTATTTCTAACATCCTCAAGCAGTTGCAGGGGTTTTTGGTAGCTGTTGCTTTCAAGTTATTTTCTCCCCAAAGGAGAACAGGCAAGAGGGTATTAAGCCCAGTGCCATAAATTAGCCTCATTTCCCAATCCAGATCCACCTGTTCTTATTTCACAGGAAATTCCCCCTCGGATGAGTCGGAGGAGCGGGAACGGGACCCCAAGGTTCTCACCTTCCCCGAGTACGTTGCCAGCCTGTCGGAGTCGGGCACCAAGCGCATGGCCGCCGGCGTCCGCATGGAGTGTCAAAGCAGAGGCCGCTGCCCCTCATCTTGCCCACTTTGCCACGTGACTGTGAGCCCAGACACACCGGCAGAGCCAATTTTGCTGGAGGTCACCAAAGCAGCACCTATCTATGAGCTGGTCACCAACAACCAAACCCAGCGGGTAGGAGCCCAGTTGCTGAGGGAGGGCTAAACTAAAGAAGGATTGTTTATAATAGGAGCATGGGGGCAAGAGGACTTCATAGTGAATCCACTTGGGCCAAAGTTTAGATGCCAAACCCCGGGTCCAATCTCAGTGATGCCAGCACTGAGGCATCTTACCCTGTATCTTTGTGTTGCTATTGTTTTGTGGGGGGTCTTGTCAGCCCTTGTACTTCTGAGTGCCAGCAGCCTGCAAGCCCTGCATGGTTTGGTGCCTGTCTTAACATAGTTAACAACAAACAGATGCTATGGACCTGAAGGGATTAAGGGCAGGGGTTACAGACTGGCCACCTTGCCTCTTAGCCACTGGCCTAATTACTTGCCATGTTAACCCATGAGCAAGCCTGAAGGGAGTTTGGTATCTGGCGAGTAGTCAGAAGTAGCTGAGATGGTTTCCTGGGACAGGAATTTTCCTTGGGGGTGGGTGTTCTCCCCTGTCAGGGGTAGAGGGATGCTGCTGCTCTGACATGCTGCTATCCTGCTACACTGAGTAGTACCATTGAAACTCGCTACCCATGGGGAAAGGTAACATGCCTGCTTACAGGGAGAAAGGTAGCAGGCCTGTGGTCAGGTGCCTTCTGCAGACCCTAAACCCTTTTGGCTTCTGTCTTCATGTCTTTCTCTGCTGAGGTGTCCCAGAGCTTCCAGCTAGCAGGCAGTGTCTGCCTAGTGAGGGGAGGGGAGCATCCTGTGAGGAAGGCATTACAAGGGGTCCTAGCTGTGCAGCACAGTGGGAGGTGGGAGTTCCTGCTTGCGTGGCTTTGATCCCTCTTCTCTTCCCCCTCAGCTGTTGCAGGAGGCCACCATGAGCTCCCTCTGGTGCTCAGGGAGCGGGGATGTCATTGAGGACTGGTGTCGGTGCGACTCAAGCGCTTTTGGTTCTGATGGACTCCCAACCTGTGCACCCCTCCCACACCCAGTGTATGTCTTCCATGCTCTGATTTGACCCCCATCCTTCCACCTTGCTCTGCAGAAGTGGTTGCTCTTTAAGGGGACAGCTGGTAAAGGGCCCTGATATAAGGCACCATGGTGCTAGTCCAAGAAAGTGACAGCACTGAGAATGCAAGCTTTTCCTACATCACCCTGGGCTCATCTACATGTGTGGTGGACTGCACAGTTGTTATTGCAGAGTCATTTAGTACTCGCTTTACTAAACCGCTGTGCAGTAACCACTGGTATTGCACTGTCCCAGTGCGGCATGGGTCATTTTCGACGCTACTGCACAGTAGCATTGACCTCATAGTTCGTGCCTGCCTATGCCACGTTGCCGTAGCATTGCTGTAGCTCATTGCTGTGACAATGTAGCATTTCATGTACACATACCCTCTGTTGATGGGCCTGAACCCTAATCTGGAGCAACCACTACTTGGCATAATGAGGAAGCTTTTTATGGCTCAGGTGCTGGGGGCTGCATTTCTCATCTAGGGTTGGGTCATCCCAGAAAACTGTGGAGTTAGGAAGTTTTTACCGAGGGCAGTTATATAGGATCCAGGGTGACATCTCAGATGGCCTCAATTACAGTAGTACAGAATGTGGGAGTCAGTGCTGACAGCTTCTGTGGTCTCTTGTTATCATTATAAAGGTGGTAGGGCAGCTCCTGAGGAAACTCCCAGTTCTGGATAAATTTACAGGCTGGATGGGGTAGGAGTATGCAGAGCACAAGGCTTTTGAGGGTCACTTTTAGCCCCGCCTTCTGCCTTCAGTGTAGGGGCTTGAGTGGCACCCTGCAGTATGACGCTCTGATCCACAGTTTCAAATGCAGCCCATCTTGGGTACCACAGGGCATGTCTTCACAGTAAAACTGAGGTGTGATTGTAGCACATGCCAGCATGCCCTGGTGACCTTGATTTAGCTAGTGGAATAGTTATAGCAGTAAAGACAGGGCAGCATGGGCTTTAACTCATGCTGCTAGCAACCAGGGTATATACCACAGGATCCCTGGAGAGTTTGCTGTCTGGCTGCTCATGTGGGCCATTGGCCATTGCACCATGTCTCCAGTGCTGTTGATACCTATGTGAGCTAGATTGAGCTAGTGCGGGCTACAACCACATCCTAAGGGAGCAATGATTGGGACTGTGGTATATGCTGAAGAGGCGTGAGAAAAGAGGAACGTGGGTGCCAGAGGTGGACAGGAGGTGCTGTTTAAAGAGCTTGACCTGTCACGTTTCCCCACTCCCCTCCAGCCTGAGGCTCTCCACAGTGCATGAACCCAGCAGCACATTGGTGGTGCTAGAATGGGAACACTCAGAGCCACCGATTGGAGTGCAGATTGTCGATTACCTCATCCGCCAGGAGAAGGTCACCGACAGGATGGATCATTCCAAAGTAGAGACCGGTGAGTACAGGCCAGAGGGGCTCTGGTCCTTCAGCAGCCAGTACTGGGCTTTATCCTTCTCAGAAGCAAGGAGAAGCTAAACCTGCTAGAGACCATTATGCTCTTTTCCTGTTGCTTGAGGAAGACCTTTGCCATGTCATCTCTGCATTTTACAGTGTGGTCTAGGCAGCAAAGGGTGCAACTGGGAGCAGGTGACCACAGTGGCAAGCATTAGCAAAACTCTTTAGCACTTGGTTAACTTGAAACCTACAAGTAATTCCAATGAAGCCAGTAGCTAGACTCTGGCAGGAGTGTCGCCTACGCAGCTAGCGGCTTCAGTTGGACTGGTTGTGGGCTTACAGTTAAGCAGGCAGATACTGAAGGGCTTTGCTGGGTCAGGACCACAAGTCCCTTTTTTCATTTGTTTATATGACTTCCCCACATTTTCCTTTTGGCCTGAAATCTGCAATGCTTGAATGGTTTTGGAAAGTTGGAGGAAAATCTGTTCTGCCAGTTGAGCAACATGACACTGGAAAAATAGCCATTCCTGTCTCCCCCTAGTAGCAAGGTCACCACTGCTTTCCCCTTGTCACCCATCAAACGTAGGTACCTGAAACTTGGCATGTTTATAGGCCACCCTGATGCATCTGTGAACCTACTCAAAATGGGAAGGGGAGATAGGTGGCTGTGAATGGGTCTGTCTCCCCCAGCGCCCCCACTTCTGATGATGAAGACTCGGTTGTCCTACAGCTCTGGGTGTTTCTTCTCCTGCAGTAGGTCCAATAAAAACAGGCTTTCCTTTCTCTGGAAGACTGCCACAGAACTCGCACCTTCCCCTTAGTGGCTTCTAACACAGAAATTCACCTCAAAACTTACATTGCAGCTCAGAGTCATCGTGAGGCAGGAGGAAGGAGCAGTGTAAGCCGTTTTCTTACCCTTCCCCAGCTCATTTAGCATATTCTCACTTCACTTCCCCTCCATAGTTCCCAAATTGCTAATGTTGCATGGCAGGGAATATAAGATGCACCAGTCCAGATTGGCCACAGTCAGCTTGTTAAGAGAGCATCGTCTTTTCAGCCCTGCTCCTGACCTTCTGGCTGAAGGCACTGGTGGGAGCCTTGCTGCCTTTGCTCATTGCAGCTGGTGCTACTTAGTTCAGGAATATTCAAATCCTTCTGAGGTATTGGGCTCACTGGTCTGTCTTGTGGCTCGAGGTAAAACTCAAGCCAAAATTTGCTATTAATCCTTCACATCCCTCTCCCATTCTCCTTGCTTAGCTCTGTACAGTTGGGATGGGATGGGAATGCAATTACTCTTTCTTCTTCCTTGCTTCTTCCCCTAGACACAGTGTTGAGTTTTGTGGACGACATCATCTCCGGAGCCAAGTCCCCCTGTGCAATGCCAGCACAAGTGCCTGACAAGCTGTCTTCTACCATCTCCTTGATTATTCGCTGCCTGGAGCCTGACACCACTTACATGTGAGTTACACTCCTTCCTGCTGGCTATTTCCAACCTTGCACTGGTTGCCTCTGATTTGTGACTTCTAGCTTTTCTCCTAATTGTTGGGGGGGGTGGGGGCGGGGGGTGGTATGGAAAGCAGGTATGTTCATTCTCTGCCATTTCATAAGGCATGACCCCTCTCCTGGTTGGTGACTATCTGTGGGGCATGAGGGAATCCTGCTACTGATACTGCTGGGCCTTTTCCTTGCCCACCCATGTGGGAGATGTCATGGCCATCAGGGTAGGGTTCACTCTGCTTTGTACAAGGTAAAGCTGGGGAGATCTGCATTTCCACCCTTTTTTTTTTTACACCTGGGTGATGATTTCTTCCAGCTTTATCTTATGTGATCTGACTGGACTCATGCTGTAACTTCCCTCCCCCCACACAAGCAGAGTCAAGTTATTCTTCCTGGTAAGCCAGCACTCTGCACCATGCACCCAGGCTCTTCTGAACTGGCCAGGCTACCAGTGCAGCAAATGTCAGCCACTTCAGACGCTTGCACTAGGTGAAGTAACCAGACTCAGTAGGGATGTCAAGTAGCTGGGTTTGGCGTGTACCTTCTGGTTTCTTACATCCTGTTGGGCCTGCACTGCAAGGGAGCACATGTCAGCTTGGGGAAGCCTGCATCCCTAAGAGAGAAATGCCTCATGTTTTAGCATAGCCTCTTGTTTGCCTAAGTGGTGTTAGTTGTATACATTCCTCCAGATGGGCATCTGCTGTAGGCAGGCATGTATATGTGCATGTGAAAGTCCAATCTGCCTGCTTGCTCTGAGATGTGATGATATCTTTGTCTCTGCCTCTCCCACCAGGTTCACACTTTGGGGAGTTGATAACACAGGGAGACGTTCAAGGTCAAGTGATGTGACGGTCAAGACCCCGTGCCCAGTAGTAGATGATGTGAAGGCTCAAGGTAATGGTGAAGATACTGAAGGGGTGGGCAAAATATGGCCCGTGGGCTGGATCTGGCCCACAAGGCCATACTATCTGGCTCACAGGGCCCCTAAAAAAATGTAGAAAATCAATATTTCTCTGCCCTTGGTTCCTGTCAATATGACAGGAACCAAGG